CCCGGCTAGTTTTTTGTATTTTTTAGTAGAGACAGGGTTTCACCGTGTCAGCCAGGATGGTCTCGATCTCCTGACCTCGTGATCCGCCCGTCTCGGCCTCCCAAAGTGCTGGGATTACAGGCTTGAACCACCGCGCCCGGCCCACCATGGAATTCTTTTATGAATATCCTTATAAAATAGGACTTGGGATGCAGATGGATTATTTAAGTCTTACAACTTCAGAAAGGCCTGAGACACACACCCCCTCCTACTATATATAATGATTATAAATAGTATATTTACCTCCAAAAAATTTAACACTGTGCCCTACTGCAAGAAAAATCTGTGGTATAACAAGGTACTGATGTTCTGTAGCTCTTTACTGAAGGCCTCACGTCAAAGGAGGGGAAGGAGAGCAATTCTGTGGCTCCGTACTTCTACCCAAGTCTGAAGAGAAGTGAGCCAAGTTAAATGAAGGTCAAGGATGCTCCTCCTGGTCCTCTCAGGGGCTGGGAAAGTCTTACGGCGTTTTCTGGGGAGTCATTACTCTGTCAGAAGTCAAGGTAGCTCAGAGGCCTTCAGGCCGCTGGTACTTCCAGAAGGCCACCTCCCCATCATCACTGCAGGAGGCCAGCAGCCCTGGCTCCTTGGGGTTCCAGGCCACACAGTTGACATCCTGCGAATGGGCCTGATGCAAGTGGGCTGTCAGGGAGAAGGTGGGCTGTTGTGGATCCGAGTTGGGATCCTCCTGAAACACGCGGATTGCGTCGTCCCCACAAGCTGTAGCCAGAGCCCCTGTCAGCTGACACCTGGGAGGAAAGTGACATCAGTGGGTATACCTGACTGATTAGGCCAGACTTGGTCCATGGTTCCTCGCCTGTTCTCTTCCCTAACTTCAGGCCACAGCTAAAAACCGCTTATTAAAATGTTTCCTTAACTACTAAGGAGTCACAAATATCACCCACTTACAACCGCAGATGCTGCAATCTAGTTCTTTCCCCTACTATGATTACCCTAAAAAACAACATGGAATTATGAACTGCACTTTTCTCACTTGGCATAAGCAGTTTCCCATGTCATAAAGTTTTTTTTTTGAGATGGCTCACTGCAACCTCCGCCTCCCAGGTTCAAGCGATTCTCCTGCCTCAGCCTCCCAAGTAGCTGGGACTACAGGCATGTGCCACCATGTTCGGCTAAGTTTTGTATTTTCAGTAGAGACAGGGTTTCATCATGTTGGCCAGGCTGGTCTCAAACTCCTGACCTCAAGTTATCCACCCACCTCCGCCTCCCAAAGTGCTGGGATGACAGGCATGAGTCACTGGGCCCAGCCATCATAAAGCATTTATTTATTTTTTTTAGATGGAGTCTTGCTTTATCACCAGGCTGGAGTGCAGTGGCGCAATCTCGGCTCACTGCAACCTCTGCCTCCCAGGTTCAAGCGATTCTCCTGCCTCAGCCTCCGAGTAGCTGGGATTACAGGCGTGCACCACCACGCCCAGCTAATTTTTGTATTTTTAGTAGAGACAGGGTTTCACCACATTGGTCAGGCTGGTCTTGAACTCCTGACATCATGATTCGCCCACTTCGGCCTCCCAAAGTGTTGGGATTACAGGCGTGAGCCACCGCTCCCCGCCCCATCATAAAGTATTCTTAACCCCTTTCTTTAACAGTGATGTAACAAGCTAAGTTCTACCATAATTTACTTAAGTTCACTTTTGTTGAATAGGTGATTCCCAAATGTTTGCTAATATAAAGCAAGCTTGAGTACTCAGTTTTTTTTCACTCTCTGGTCCTAGGGATCAACTCTCAGGGCCAGAACTACCCTCTGACCTACTCTCCTATATGAATGGTGCAGCTTTTCCAGCTTCTGCAAGGGCAGAGTCAGCGTTACCCATAAAAACCCCAGCCACTGCGTGGCGCGGTGGCTCACGCCTGTAATCCCAGCACTTTGGGAGGCCAAGGCGGGCGGATCACAAGGTCAGGAGATCGAGACCATCCTGGCTAACACGGTGAAACCCCGTCTCTACTAAAAATACAAAAAATTAGCTGGGCGTGGTGACGGGCGCCTGTAGTCCCAGCTACTCGGGAGGCTGAGGAAGGAGAATGGTGTGAACCCGGGAGGCGGAGCTTGCAGTGAGCCGAGATCACGCCACTGCACTCCAGCCTGGCCTGCAGACTGAGACTCTGTCTCAAAATAAATAAATAAATAAATAAATAACAACCCAGTCATGAATGCACAGATTCGATAACTTCTGGACGGCACAAGCTGCGTGAACCCCGAGCGCTGGTGCTGCCCTCACAGCCTGGGACTGTTCCCTGCTCCTGTGAACGCCAGCCCAGCCAGCTGTAAAGCAGCATGCTGGAGTCAGGCCTGATAAGGAATGGGGGTGGCTGCCCTCGATTCCTAAGCACTCCCCCAGGGTTGCAGAGGACTGCATGGGGCATGCCTTCTCTAAAATCCCTCCTTTATGGGGATGGCATGGGGGTGGGGGATGGAGTCTTACCAAGCAATGTCGTAAATGGTCCTTGAGTGGAAGCCCGACAAAGTACAGATACATTTCCAACTGGGGTCAGAGCCGCTGCATGCCACGCCTGCAAGACAGACTCCTCTTACACTTAAGACGTTCCTATGTCCTGGGCGCCTCAAAGGAGAACCTAACTTACCTTCCCTCACCCTCGTCTTCAACTGATTATGAGTCCCCGTCTCCATTCCTGTACCCATCCCCGCTGCTCTGCCTTACACACTCCGGCCAGACCGGCCTTTCTCAAGCAGAATTCCGAGAAGGAAACGTCCCTGTTCTGTTGCCAACCACCAGCCAACCCAACCCACTTTATTCCTCTCCAAACCCTAGATGTCCTATGCCCCATTTAAATGAATTACCACGCCTCACTAAGTCTGAGCGTTCCCACCATTGTTATCTTTACTCACGCTGTTGAGTTTTCACTTGGAATTCTCACGTGAAATTGTCACGTTAAAATCCTACATACCCTTTCAAATGCAGATGAAACAGCCCCAGTTCCACAAAGCTTTCCTGATTGTTCCAGTACTCTATCCCGAACCCTCTTGTGGCACATCTTACCTTTTACCCCCATTTGCTCCGACTCATGTATGTGTCTTAGCAGACTGTGAACCCCTTGAGAGAGGGGTCTTCTTTAGCTCTACTAATGGACCCTCACCTTGTTCATTGCCCGGTAGATACTGACGCCAGATGCGCACAGTGCGGTCATCACTACAAGACGCCAGGCGCTGGCCACTCGGGTCAAAGGCCAAGCTCCACACAGTGGATTCATGGCCCTCAAGGGTGGCACAGCATACCCAGTCATCCTCTTCCTCCCGGTACAGCTTCACTGTGTCATCGTAGCTGGCAGAAGCTAAGAGCTGGGGGAAGAGGGAAAGGAGACCCAACTTGTGTCTGTGTGGCCCAGGAAGTGCAGGACAGGTCAGTGAGTCCCAGGGATCTGCTTTTATGTTTTTATTTTATTTTATTATTTATTTGAGATGAAGTTTCGCTCTTGTTGCCCAGGCTGGAGTGCAATAGCACAATCTCGGCTCACTGTAACCCCCGTCTCCCAGGTTCAAGCAATTCTCCTGCCTCAGCCTCCTAAGTAGCTGGGATTACAGGCATGCACCACCACGCCCAGCTAATTTTGTATTTTTCGTAGAGACAGAGTTTCACCAAGTTGGCCAGGCTAGTCTTGAATTCCTGACCTCAGATGATCCACCCACTGTGGCCTCCCAAAGTGCTGAGATTATAGGTGTGAGCCATCACGCCCAGCCGGATCTGTTTTTATAAAGGGACTAATGTTTTTTGTTCACAGATAGAGGTCCCTGTAAAAGCTAGCTTAAGGCTGAAAAGCAGAGGAAGGCTGGGCACAAGCCTGCACATCAGAGCCCTTCCCACAGGAGACCCTGCCTGAATCTTACCTCCTGACTTGGGTGCCACACCACATGCTTGACATCCTGTGTGTGGGAGTTGAGAACACTGACACATTCATACTCATCCTCTTCATCAACTGTGGGAGAGAAAAAGAAGGGAACCCAAGAGCCGACCCTGTCACGGACACGGAGGGGGGTGTCAGGTGGTTCCCAATCCACCTGGAGGGACCTGGACTCACCTTCCCAGACCCAAACACTCTTATCTCGGCTGCAAGTGGCCAGGAGGTTGCCAGATGGGGCCCAAGCCACTGACTTGACCTCATTTTCATGGCCCTCGAGAGTGGTTACACACTGTGAAATGAGAAGGAAAATGAGAATTAACAGCAGCTAACACCGCTAAGGCCCTTCCCATGGGTACAGCCCAATTGGCGCAGGTTGGCTCAGGTTCCTGAACCAGCCCTGGGGAGGAAACAGGCAATAATTCTGGTCCCAACCAGCCTGGGTACCTCAAAGTCATCCTGGTTCTTCTTCCAAATGCAAGTGGTAGCATCAAAG